AAGGAGATTAATTCTTACAAAAATTGAAATTAGAAAATGGAGGGCCTGGCTCAGTAGCCTAATGGCTAAAGTCCCCTCTTTGAATGTGCCAGGATCCCATTTGGGCACCAGTTCTAATGCCAGCAGCCCCAACTCCTATATCCAGCTCCATGCTTGTGGCCTGGGAAAGCAGTCTAGGATGGTCTGAAGCCTTGAGATCCTGTACCGATGTGGGAGATCTGGAAGAGACTCCTGGCTCCTGGCGTTGGATCAGCTCAGCTCCGACCACTGTGGTCACTTGCGGAGTGAATCAACGGACAGAAGATCTTCTTCTCTGTCTCTCCTCCCCTAATATATATCTGACTTTCAAATAAAAAAATAAATAAATCTTTTTAAATAAAAAGAAAATGGAGATAAAATGGAGATAGAGTAGTAGCTAGCAGTGACCTCAGAATCAATGACGGATATTTATACATTTATCCAGCCAAGTACCTATTTATTTATTTAGGCAGAGAATGAGTTATGTTTTTGTTTTTGTATATTCTTTTCCTGAAGTGGTGGGGGAGAATGGAGACTGACAACTTGAAATGGCAGTAGAAATATTAACATAAGTAAAGTGGGCAAGCAATGCTACTGTCCTCAATAAGAAGGGGCTATCATTGCCCAACATAGAGGTGAAAATTTATTATGCAGAGGAACACCTGTCTGTCTCTGCATACTGATTAAAACAGTGCCTATGAATTTCAACTGTCTGGGTCTGAATTCTGAATCTACTAACTTTATAATCTAGGACAATTTACCAAGCCTTTAGTGGATGTTGTTTCCTAATCTACTATGCAAAAAAAAATTCTGTGTGTCCATGGATTTAATAGTGCTTGGCACTTAGGGTTCGGGGAACAAACAGGTTAAGTCTGTGCTCAGAACAGACTCTTCATAATATTTGCTTTATCAATAACAACAATAATAATCAGAGTAACAATCATTGGTTATCTAATTTGATTCTTGACAGAATGGATTAATGAGAGATATGGCTAGAGACAGTTTTAGAGGTAAAGAGGTATTGTAAATGTTGACATCAGGGTTTTTTATTTTCTTTCACAAGAAAGAAGTTAGGTAGCTGTGGTAGGTAAAAAGAAGAGGAAGGTGACAGAGTTTGAGGGGGATGGGTAATTAAGGAAAAATTGCTGTGAAACAAGTGAATGATCACTGAATGGGAACAAATGAAGTAATTGCTGAAATGACAATGAGGGGTCAAATGAGGTGAAATCTAAAACGTCAAAAAATGGTCATTCAGTAAGTTGACCAAAGGAAGCAGGAAGATGAAAGAACAAGAGAAGAATAAGACTGTCAAGAAACGTGATTTATTTTATAAATTCAGGAAGATGGTAGAAATTTTGATACAGAAATCATAAGATATAAACTCAAGTATTTATAAAGTAAGCAATAATCATGCTAATGGGAGATGAGAATAGAAGCCAAAAGATTATCCCATTTGGAGTCTCTCCGTAGTACAGAAGAGTACATACATTTCAAAAACTGCCACCATTATGGGTGTTGATAAATGACGTTGGAAATATTCACACAAAGTGAACTCAATTCCAGCACATATAAGAAGAAATGTGCATCTGGTAAATTTTGACTTTTTAAAAAATTTTTTTTTAATTTTTTAAAAAATTTATTTTTATTTATTTTGGATAGTCAGATATACAGAGAGGAGGAGAGACAGAGAGGAAGATCTTCAGTCTGATCATTCACTCCCCAAGTGACTGCAACAGCTGGAACTAAGCTGATCCAAAGACAGGAGTCAGGAGCCAAGAGCTTCTTCCAGGTCTCCCACGCACAGGCAGGGTCCCAAGGCTTTGGACCATCCTCCGCTACTTTCCCAGGCCACAAGCAGGGAGCTGGATGGGAAGTGGGGCCACCACGGTTAGAACTGGTGCCCATACGGGATCTCAGCATCTGCAAAGTGAGGACTTTATCCAGTAGGGTACAGCTCTGGGCCTAAAATTTTACTTTTTAAAGATTAATTTACATATTTGAAAGGTAAGGTAACAGAGTTAGGGACACAGACACGCCTGCTTCACACACACATACACCTTCCATCGGGTGGTTCACTCCCCAAATGGCCACAACAAATAGGGTAGGGCCAACTTGAATCAGGAGCCAAGAGCTTTATCTGGGTCTCCCAGGGGAGTGACAGAAGCTTAAGTACTTGGACCATTTAACACTGTTTTCCAGACACATTATCAGCAAACTGGATCAGAAAGTGATACAGGGACTACAGGAACCAGCACTTACAAAGGATGTCTGTGCTGCATGTACCACAAAGTCAGCCTCATAAATTTTTACTTTTATGAAGCTAAAATACGCCATTTCTGAATTTTTGTTTGGACTTAGTTTTATTAAATGTCCATAGGGCTGGTGCAGCAATCGCATCACATTTGTGCACTGGTTTTAGTTCCAGCTGTTCCACTTCTAATCCAGCTCTTTGTTAATGGCCTGGGAAAGTAGAGTAAGGAAGAAGCTCCTAGCTCTTAGTTTCACACCAATCCATCTCCAGCAGCTGCGGCGGTTTGAGTAGTGAACTAGAGGGTGATCTCTCTGTCTCTCCCTCTCTTTGTAACTCTGCCTTTCATATAAATCTGAATTTATATTATTCATATAAATCTGAATAATATTTCTAATTTACATGATTCCATTCAACACATAATGTTTTTGCTCATTTAATGCAAGATATTGCTCTAAGCACTGCAAAATATGTCTTGTAAAATTACTTCAAAGAGATTTTTCTTTATAAGTTTACCTAAATTTTATTTGGCAAATCCTGATGCATAATATCTTAGGTAATTTCCGTAGTATAAACTACTTCCCAATGTCCTTCATCACTTTTAAGTTTTGTGAGAGAAAGTTAATATAGGATCAGATAACTTTATGCACACATATCCACAGAATTATTTATGGATATGTACATAAACAAGAAATCTCTTCCACGTTTTAGTTTCCTTTCGGTTCAGAAGGTATATTACTTTTTATGTTCCTAGCCTTCATTTCCTCAGTGTGATACTAAGGATATTCCTTTCGAAGGACTTGCTTGGCAAACTAATACATCTTTTAAGATAAACTGCATTCAGAAAAAAATAGCTTCAGAGAAATTGTGTAGTGTACTTACTGTAAAACTTATAACCATCATGACACAGCTGAATTCTCAAATGGAATATAGCCTTACTTCAACTTTAATATGAATTTACACAGCTTAGGTTTCAAGTGTGGACTTTGGGTGCAGGAAATGTAATTTAATATTGCATTCAAGCGATGCTAGTTAATAAATAATATCTTAGCAATTCAGTTAATTAATTTGTCTGCCTCAAAAATAATGAATGTATATGCTTCAAGTATCTGTACATGCTAACTCAATCTGATCTCAAATACATATTTTTATTTCATTTTCATGGATTTGATAGAATTCATGTACATCAGTGTAGGTCGTGCTATGTCTTACATTAAAGCCTCTAAATATGGGCAAAAGGTTACTAAGCATGTTCAAAAATAATATTATATGCTTAATCTCTTACAGTTTCATTCTAACTGGGACTTTGTTTTTTGTTTTACTTTAAACATGACTTTTAAAGAGCAAAATACCAAAGTTGATTAGTTATAATATATTTGTGTCAGAAAGGTTATAAAATATTTTAGGATGAATGAAACAATCTTTATTGGCCAAGGAGTCTGCTGGAGATTTAAAATTCTTAGAATGTGGATGGAAGCTTTCAGGAATTCAGGCTACAGGTAGAAACAATAAAGTGACTGTTCCTTAATGCAACAAACAAACTTGTACTGCATACCTAAGTACAAAAGAGCTTTTATATCTAAGAAAGTAAGTAAATCATGATGTCCATCTTTGTACCCTTTTTAGGCCAAATAAATAGCAAGTTTTGAGAATACTAAACACATAGGTCTACATATTTTAATACAAACATATACTTCCTCAACAAAGGTACCCCTTAAATAGAATGGAGGATAAGAAAAAATAATTTAGTCTCATAATAATTTAATTGTATCATGATAAACAACATGTGTGTTTTGAGAATGAACCAGCTGAAACAATGCAGTTCCTCCCCAAAATCTGCAAGGCAGACATAAAAACAACGACATGGAGATCCTACCCCGCCACTACACCCCCCGACTCACTCTCTAAAATCCTCAATGGGAGAAACTGCTATGAGGGCAGCAAGTTAAGCTGATGCTCAGCATGCTCACATCCCATATCAGAGTACCAGTTTGGGTTTCCAGGTTTCCCACTTCTAATTCAGCTGTCTAATATACCAGGGAAGCTATAGATGATGGTTCAAAATACACCTGAGTTTCTGCTACCCATGTGGGAGATCTGCACGGAGTTCCAGGGTTCTGGCATTGGCCTGGTTAAGTTCTGGCTGTTGTAGCCATTAGGGAATAAAACAGCATATAGAAGATTTTCTCCTCCCTATACCACCCTCTTCCACCCCTCCAGTGCCTTTCAGGTAAATAAAGATAGATTCAAGAAAAATTATAATGCCTTGGGCTGGGTTGGAAGCTGAAACCAGGAAACATGAGCTGAATTAAACAGTCTCCTAGATGGTGGCAGCATAGCAGTTACTTAAGGCATCGATGCTGCTTCCCAAGGCTTGTTATTACCCTTTTATTTCAGTCTAAAATTTTTGGGGCTAGATAGTAACAGAAATATCTAAATAAAAAAATAGCAAATAAAATCCTATATAAAACATTACATATACAACTATTACATATACTATTATAAAGACCATCTGGTAAGGTACCCAAAGATATTTTGCATGTATAGAAGTCAATTTAATTATCTTCAATAAAATGACAGACAATGACAGCTACATTAGGACTTTGGACAGACAACACTACATTACTTAGCTATACAGAAAAAAATAAAGACACTTGAAATGCTTTTCTTTTCACTGTTTTTGACAAGTGTCACCTCCCAGCTGATTTGTGGGCTTTATGCTCGCAATACATACCACAACTCCAAATTGTTCGGGCTCACAGAGGTCATCATATTCATTTTTCAGCTGTGCTAGTTCATTGAGTACCTTCTGTTCAGGAAGATGTTTTATTAGGTTCTAAAAAGAAATAAAAAAATATAAAGGCTCACTTTTATTATTATTATTCCAAAGATATATGAACAATTGTAAAATGCTTAACTACTAGGATAGTAACTTTCTACATATAATTGTATTATAGTACCAGAATGTAGTTGTCATATGGTACCAGAATATTCTCCTCCTTCTTCTCTCAAAAATTGAATTAAAACAGACTGCAAATAAATACGAATAAAGTATATAAAATTGTTTGGCTTCTATGGACACCATTACATATGTGTTATGTAGGATTACATAGGAATGTCAAAACTGAGCAACCTTAAGTGACCTAAACACATAGCCCAATATTTTAAGCATTATTTTTCATTACAGTTGGTCAATTTAAATTGAAAACATGAAAATACTTCCCAGAATTAGCTCAAATATAATAATACTAAAATATTTGCTAGTCATGCTTTTTCAAAACTCAGAATCCTCTTCAATCTTTTTTTTAAGAACTACTTATTTTTATTGGAAAGAAAGATATATACAGAGGAGAGACAAAGATCTTCCATCCGCTGGTTCTATCCCCAAGTAGCCACAGTGACCAGAGCTGAGCCAATCCAAAGCCAGGAGCCAGGAGCTTTTTCCGGATCGCCCACACAAGTGCAGGGTCCCAAGGCTTTGTGCCAACCGTAACTGCTTTCCCAGGCCACAGTCAAGGAGCTGTAATGGAACTGGAGCAGCTGGGACATGAACCAAAACCCATACTGTATAGGAAACAGAGCAGCTGGGACTTGAATCGGTACCCATATGGAATTCCAGTGTGCACAAGGTGAGGTCTTCAGCCACTAGGCTGCCCTGCTGGACTCCTCTTCAATGTTATAAACTTGTAGAAACACATACCATTGTTTAAAATATCTATATTTAATTACAAAATGCACATCTACATATAATGAACATTTAAACTTAAGTGGTGAATTCTGATGAATACTAAATTTTGAGGCCTGTTACAGATTAAATGCTTGAGCCCCTGCAAAATTCACATGCTGACTCTAACCCTTAATGACAGTTTTAGAAATAAGGCCTTTGGAAGCTAGTTAGGTCAAAAGGGTCAAGGCTGTATGAATGGGATTAGTGTCATCTAAAGAACAGGCAAGAACACTATATTTCTGTAATATGGGAATATAGTGAGAGATCAGCAGTTTGCAATCTTATAGAAAGTCCTCAAAAAAATCCAACTATGAGGGCACCCTAACGGGTTCCCTTACAGGCAGAGAATAAGCTTGTTGAGCCACCATGCAAGTAGCTGGGGCCCGGGGGGGGGGGGGGCGGGATATGTTATGCTAATAAGCGAGTTCAGCAAAACTTCAGCTTATACAACCAACAGGCAAAAATTAGTTGCATTTGCATGCATTAGCAAAACTCTAAAAAGCAAAGAAAAAAATCCATTCATAATAGTATCAAAATAGCAATCACAGTAACTACTGCTTCATTCTCACTAGAATGGCTGTTATCCAAAAATGAAGACAACAAGTTGGTATGAATGTGGAAATACAGAAAACTTATGTATCGCTTGAGAAGAGATAAAACGGCACAACGATCATCGGAAAACAGTGTGGTGGGTTCTCAAAATTTAAATGGAATTGTTATATAATCAACACTTCTGCCACTCATGTGATTAATATATCAACTTGGTCAAGTCACAGGATGTTCAGATCAAATATAATTTCTAGGTGTGTCTATTAGGGTGTTTCTAGATGAGATCAGATTCTGAATTAGCATATACAGATTCCACTCCCCCATGTGAGGAGACTTCAATCTATTGAGAGTTGAGTAGAAGTAGACGGCTAAAGGATGAATCTGCTCCATTATGTTTCTGGACTACCTGCTTGAACTGAGATATAGACCATCTCGTGTCATTCAACTGGAATTTGTACTGCTTTTTCATCTTCCCTGCTCCACAAGCCTTCAGACCCAGCAGTGGGACTAGAATTGTGTTACTGTCTCCCCTCAGGTGAATATGCAAATGACAAGACAGGGGACTTCTCAGTCTCCCTAATGGAATGAAACATATTCTCACAATAATAGATCGGCTACTATGTTTGCTTTTCTGGAGATACTGAACCAATACACCTAGACATGTACATACACAAACAGGGAACTGCAAATAGGTCTCAAACAGAAATGGTGCAGAAGTATATATAACATCACTATTAAATATTCAGAAGGTGAAAATAACCACGTAACTATCCAGTAATACATTAATAAAATGTGGTATATATGTACTTTTTATTTTTGCAGATAAACATGAAAGAGGGTTTACTTTCTAGATGCCCACAAGAACTGGAATCCTAGAATACCATTCAGGTTCCATCAAGGCTGGGAGGGAGTGAAGTATTTCAGCTATCACCTGCTGCCTCCCAGGATACATCAACAGAAAGCTAGATCAGATGAAGAGTAACCAACATGGGTTGCAGGTGTCCTAAGTAGCAGCTTTATTTGCTGAACCACGGCATTTAGCCTAGAATAATATTTTGATAAACACACTAACAAAGATAAACCTTGACACTTTGCTTAGTGAAATATGAAGAGAAAGCACAAATATTTCATCATTCCATTGATATTAATTATCTAAAATAAGCAATTTTTTTTTAGAGACAGAAAATGGAATTGCAGCTACTTATATCCATAGTTTAGGATGCAGGGAGTTACTGTTCATTGGGTACAGAATTTCGATTTGGGGATATAAAAGATTTCTAGAGTAAGGGTGATGGCTGCATAGAAATGTAAATGTAAATGCCATTTAATCACTTAAAAGTGGGTAAAACAGTACATTTTGCATGTTATGTACTTATCCATAATAAAAGTAAGCAGGATAGGCAATATACATGGTTAAGTTCCATATAGTATAAGCTCAATACAGTCTAAATATTATAGCCTGTCATAAGTGCCCCTTTGTTTTCCTCATTTATCCTTCCTGTCCTCCCTTTACGTTTTGGCTTTCTATTAAGTTCTATTTCACTAAAGGTAACCCAGCATCTAATTAGTTGAGGTTCAAGTTTTGAAAAACTGTGCCCTTTGACTCAGAGATGTATACAATTGCATACATGCATGAACAACAAAGAACATTAATTATTTGGTTTTATTAAATAGGAATATTAGAGTTTCTTTCTCACTCTCTCTCTCTCGTTCCATTTATTTAGCTGGAATGCAGTAGTACAAAGAGAAGAGAAACAGAAGATGAGGTGAAGGCCAAAAGAGATTTTCCATTTTCTGTCTCATTTCTCAAATGGCTTCAATGACCAGGGTTGGGCCAGGCCAAATTAGAAGGCTGGGACTCCACGCAGGTATTCAACTTGAGTAACAGGGGCCCAAATACTTGGGGTATCTTTTACTGCTTCCCCATGCACATTAGCAGGGAACTAGATTGAAGTGGCAGAACCAGGACACTAAATGGTGTCCATACAGAATGCCAGCATTGCAAATGGCAGCCTATATCAGCATTCCAGAAAAACATGCCCTACACAACTATGCAAGAACAACAGGCCCATTTTTTTAATGTTCAGGTATCATTTCCATTTTGTCCACAGTATTTTGAGGCATGGAAATTATTCAACTATTTCTATTTTTGTTTCTGTTAGTGGGATTCCTTGTGAAGTATATCAGTCCATTATTACAGAAAAGATTCAGTTTTGCCTTTTTTATTGAAATTAAATTAGAAAGATTAAGAATATTATTAAAATTATTTTAAAAATTCAGTTCTGTATACTTAAAACTCTTCATCTCAATTTTAAAATACTATGAAATAAATCAAGCTGAAAATAGAATTTTAGCTCAGAATGTGAAAGTTTCTGCTGTTATTTTATATCATGTCTAGCTATAGATAACCTGATAACTCACTTCAGAATGCAAGCTCCACAGTGGGAGGTGATGTATCCTTTCTTCTCTGCTCAGCTTTATGAAATATTTAACACATTCAGTGGGCTTGGACAGATTCTGACTTTGGATTCTGTTTTGTCAGTAAATTGTAAGTTTATGGACCACCAGAGCTTAGTAGGTCCTATTTCAATAACTAGAATACAATTTATATTCTTAATTCTGTGGCAAATACAGATTAATTTTATAGTTTTAATTTGTCAACTCGCTGTAGGAGTTTGAAAGTGTTCATCATCCTATATGCTTAAAAATAGCTGATTTTTTGACGTAATACTAAACTCCGTGGGCAAAGATGCAAAGACTAATTGTGCCATAAAACATTTTCATGTTCATGAATTCCTGATGGGAAGAGGAAGGTGATAAGAAGACACATAATAATACATTCAACGCAATCCCAATCAAACTACCCAGAACATTCTTCATAGAGCTGGAAAAATTATACAAGGGTTCATCTAGAAAAACACACAAAAAAAACATGAATAGTAGAACCATCCTGAAGAATAGGAATCTAACAGGGGGATCACAATCCCAGACCTCTGGATACACAATAGGGCGGTGGTTGTTAAAACAGCCTGGTAGTGGCACAAAGATAGAGAGAAGGATTCATGGAGTAGAATAGAAACAACAGAAGGGAACCCACACAGGTTCAGCCAAATGATCTTTGACAAAAAACAGATGACAATCCAGGGAAAAAGGAAGGTCTCTTCAATAAATGCTCTTGGGACAACTGATTGATAGCCTGCAGAAACAAGAAGATAGACCCACATCTTTCATGATACACTAAGATCAAATCTAAATGAATAAAAGACCTAAGCCTACATCCAGAAACCTTCAAACTATTGTAAGAAAATGATGGAAACATTCTGCAAGATTTAGGTGTAGGCCCTGACTTCCTTAAAAAAACTCACCAAAAGCAATCAAGATCAAAATAAACAAATGGGACTACATCAAACTAAGAAGCTTCTGCACAGCAAAAGAAACAATCAACAAAGCAAAAAAGCAACCCACAGAATGGGAGAAGATCTTTGCACACCACACAGGAAACAAGTGGCCAATCTCCAGAATATACAAAGATCTCCAGAACAACCAAAACGACAATACAA